ACTAAACTCTCGGGTAAACCATAAATCCTAAGGTTATGACTTATCTAAGGCTTTAGAATTTAGTGTTTTTAAGATTTAGTGTTTATTATTTATGATTTAGGGTTTAAGATTTATCGAAGGGTTTATGGTTTATCAAAGGGTGTAGGGTTTATCCAAGGGTTTAGGATTTAACCAAGGGTTTAGGGTTTACCCAAGGGTTTTATCTTTAGAAGTTAGGGTTTAGTGTTTTGTAGACGGTGTTAAAGTATTTTATTTTTTTTTATTTGCAACTATTATTAGTTTTATTTATTGACATTTTAACGTTAAAACTCCTCAACTAAATTTATTTTGGATAAAACCCCCAAACTAAGTATTTAATGGGAAAACCATCAAACTAACTAAATTTAATAGATTAAATTATCTGTCTACAGTGCATGTCAAAATGATCACTAGTACCCATAAATCTTTAATTTAGGGGTTTTACACAAACTAAACATAATTGAGCTGTTTTACCACTAAAAAATTAAAAAGCCGAAAAATGAAAAAATAAAAATATATTACATTTATCTAAAAATTAGTAACTTAAATTTGTAACTTCAGCATTTTAAAAATTTATGCAAATATATGAGTATGATTTGTTTTTAAAATCAACACTTTATTTGTAGAAATTGAATATATAACAAAGAGAATATATAATAAAAATTATGTATTAACCATTAAAGATATAAAAATGCAAAAATAAAATTTGTAAAATTTAAAATAGGATAACATTATCTAAAAATTAGTAACTTAAATTTTTAAAATTATCATTAAAAAATTCATGGAAATTGATGAGTATGGTTTGTTTTAAAGTCAACATTATATATGTATAAATTGACTGGTGGTAATGGATCTTTGATTGGCAATAGAGTAAAACTAATTATCTAAAAGTTAATAACTAACATTTGAAAATTTAAGTTACTAATCCTGAGATAATGTTTTTCTATTTTAAGTTTTACATTTTTTATTTTTGGATTTTTTATATCTTTAATGGTAAATACATATTTTTTATTATATATTTGGTTTTTTATTTTTTAATTTCTACATATAAAGTGTTGATTTTAAAAACAAATCATACTCATATCTTTTTCTCTTCTTCTCCACTCTCTCTAAAACTCATATTCCATAGCCTCTCAAGAGTCCAGCTCAAAATGCTGAAATTGCAAATTTAAGTTACTAATTTTTAGATAAATGTATTATATTTTTATTTTTTTTCATTTTTTTGGCTTTTTAAAAATTTTAGTGGTAAAACATCTCAATTATTTTTAGTTAGTGTAAAAACCCCTAAACTAAAGATTTACCAGTACTGGTAGTCATTTTGACCTGCACTGTAGATAGAGAGTTTAATCCATTAAATAAAGTTAGCTTGGGGATTTTCTCATTAAATACTTAGTTGAGGTTTTTTATTCAAAACAAACTTAGTTGAGGGGATTTAACGTTGAAAATCCTTATTTATTTTTACTATTTTATTTTAAAAACATATTTTAACTTGGTAGATTCTTATATTTGTTTCTTTTTTAAAATATATAGAATATGAAATACTATTGGTTTAAGGTTTACCTTAGAGTTTAGGATTTAGTGTTTAGAGTATAAATTAGGGTTTAGTGTTAATCTTAGGATTTAGCGTTTAGTGTTTGGAATTTGAAATACAAAGTTTAGGGTTTAGAATTTTGGAATGTTAATTCTTTTTTTTTGTAGTTAATGTTTTTTTCAAAAAATTTTCTATAAATAATATATGATATGTGGCAGTTTTTCATTGGTTATTATATAGGAGATGAACCTAACGCAAGAATAACTTTTTTTATGTTGGCATAAAGTTAATGGTGATTAATTAGTAAATAAAAATCTGCACTATTATTATGGTAATATAATTAATGATGTGATGTATTTTTATTTTAATATAAATAATGAAATTGTTAAATTGAGTGAAAATAAAATAACAATTAATGTAATAATTTATTGAAAAAGGCTAAGTTTTATTTTGTATTTCAGTTTAATAGTATAGATGTCTTTGAACCTATAGTCATAACATCTAAGAATGTAAATTAAGTTGAGTACAAGTGAGTAGTCGAGAGAAAGGTAAATGAAAAGAGTGAAGTAACACGATATAAAGCCCAACTTGTTATCCAAGGTTTTTCTTAGAGATCGAAAATTGATTTTGAGAAACTTATTCTCCGGTAATTGATGCAATTACGTTAAGATTTTTGATGAGTTTAGCAACATCTAAAAATATTGAAATATATTTCATGAACGTTGTGAAAACGTATTTATATAGATCGCTAGATAATTATATATATATATATATATATATGAGAATCCATGAGGATTGAAAATTAGGAAGCATTGAGAACAAAACTGAGAGAGATTTTTTTATTCAAATTATAGCAATAAATATACGGATTAAAGCAAACCAGACGCATGTGGTAAAATAGCTTAAGTAAATTTCAATTGAGAAAATGATATGTAAATAATACGATACGTCGGCATTATTGTTAAGAAATCGACCTCTGGCTTTGTGATCATTGATGTCTATGTAGGTGACCTGAACATAATTGAAACTTAAAATGAGGTTTGATGATGCACGTACTCACATGAAAGAAAAATTTGAAATAAAAATCTTGGAACGACAAAAATTTGTCATGGACTCCAGATAGAGTATTTATGAGAAGAAATATTTTTGCATCAATCAAATATAAAAAGGATATTGAAACGCTTTTCTATGGACAAAGCTTCTCGGTTGAGTACTCTAATGGTTCATAAGTCTTCTGATGTTGAGAAATATCATTTTAGGCCTATGAAAGATATCAAATAAATATTAGAACCTGAAAGATATCAAATAAATATTAGAACCTGAACTTTATATGACCGTTATCGGTGAGTTTATGTATCTCGCAAGTTATACTAGACCTGAAATCACTTTTGTTTACTAACATACTTGCAAGATATAGTTCTTCTTCTATTCGCAGGCGTTGGAATATATATATGTGTTTGTTATCTACAAGGTAGAGTTGATTTAGGGTTAATTTATCCTAAAACTCCGAGTTTGCTATGGTTGGTTTAGATGCAGGATATTTATTAGATCCACATAAAAATCGATCACAAACCGGCTACTTTTTTTACCATGGTCAAACTGCGATTGTTTGGCGTTCCCTAGAAACAAACTCTAGTTGCGATTTCTTCAAATTATGTAAAAACTATTGTGTTTCACGAAGCATGTTGGCTTACATTAATGAGTCATCAAATACAAGAAGAAAGCGGAATAATTATCAAAAAACAATTGACAAAAGTTTTTGAAGATAACTCAGTTTGTGTCGCTCAACTCAAAGAAAATTAGATTAAGAAAGACATAACAAAGTATATTCCTCTAAGGTTTTTTTCATACATACAAGAGCTCGAGAAAATTCAAGAAATAGACATTAAATATGTACAGTCATCATTAAGTATGTACATTTAGATAATGATTCAGCTGATTTGTTCACAAAGCGCTTCTCTCCACAACATTCCAAAACATATCTACAGTATTAAAATACACTATTTTTGTGACTGTATGAAGAAAGCTATGTTCATTAATTTCAGAGATAGATTATGTCACTGTATGCTTTTTTTCCTTCTTCATAGTTTTAATTCATCAGTTTTTTTACAATGATTACGTCATTGTATACTTTTTTTCCTTCTTCATAGTTTTAATTCATCAGATTTTTTACGATCAGATTTTTTACAATTAGATTTTTAACGAGACATTATCTAATACAAATAAATATATAATCAGGAGTGAGTGTTGGATAATGATCATCCATCTCTCAACATCTGGAAAAACCCTTGTCTCAATTTTAGGATATCAGTCAACTTTGCACATGAATACGTGTCTATAATTTCTCCCCCTATAAATAGGTTCATCTCTTCAATTTGAATGATACAAGAAGTGAATGAAAAAGCTACTCTCGTAATCCCCCCCCCCCCAAAAAATACAACAAATATCTAATTAACACACATAACACCAAAAGATATCATTGAAGGTTGGGAGATGCAGAGCATCCAGTGCACATTCAATGCTGGTTTCGGTTCATATTCAGAGCATCCAGTGCACCTTAAATACCATGAAGCACAACAAAAGTTCTCATTTTCTGAGTGATCGGAATTCTAATATAAGAAAGTTGGAGACAGAGTTTTTTTACTTGGAGACAAACCGTCAGACTTGTACATCTTTACTACTGTCTGAATCTTGTGTTGAACCTATAAGAGGTGGTATGAAGAGACTCAGTTGTAGCTTCTGCAAGGTTGGATCTGGGTCAAGCCCAAACATTAGCTTGGTCCCAAATTTTTTTGACCTTTTTTATATAGGTTTACGCCTTCAAATTGTGAAAAAACACTTTTATAAAAATTCTTAATAAATGTTTATGGCCCCAAAATTTTCAAAATATCAGACAAAAAGGGTTTAGACTGCTTAAGCTGTGGTGGCAATATGTTAGTAAAATTTGTAAAAAAATATAAGTTAATCGTGATAATTTTTATTTTGAATAGAGCCTCAAAATCATTTGGTGTGGCTCAGGTAGCTGAAGAATTAGCAGAACCAAGGCTTCTAAAGTTTATATTTAGCCAAGGTGATCATTGTAGTGTATGCGCCTATGTAGTTCGCTTGTACTTGCACTTCTGTGTAAAGACTGGAGAAAAAAGAATTTCTACACAATAACTTGCACAACTAAACACAATTACTAAATTTACACACTTACTTGCTTCTCCAGACCACAATAAAATGTGAGAGAGAGAAAACAAAGAGTTTCCATGTACAATGACCATATAATTACAGAGCTTAGTAGCATAAGCATATCTGTGGCAGCAACGTTCTGCTAAAAGATGTTGAAGAACAGTCGTTATTGCATCGTAAAGCAGAGCGCGATAGCCATGGTCAGTCCTCCTTCTTCCAGTTTAGGTCATGTTTTCCTTGTTTTGGTGTTACCAAAGCTTCACTCATGTCTTCTATTTTATGCACCTGTTCTGTGGTTTTTCTTTGTTGCAGATTTCTCAAGCCGCGATTTTCTTACAGCCTCTTGGATTTGCCTCTCATGCTCTTTCAAAATATCCTCAATGTTTCCACCTGGAGGCATCAGTGGACCTGAACAGTGCATTATGTTCTTCTTGCGTCTGTATGTCTGTAACAGCATGAGCCCAAAAAAAAAACATCTTAGGGTCCATTATCTAAAGGGGAGAAATTAGAGCTAATATGTTGACATTATTACCGTTGTGGGTTCAATTGCTGCATCATCTCTATTTGATGGAGACAAGTATCTTCCTGTCATCGGCACGTTGCTAGATCGGGTAGCATTCAGCCCTACTACATTGTTCCTAGAGCTCTCGTTTTTACTCCATGTTGTTGTTATGCTCGGGTGAACCATTGAATTGGTATGAGAAAAGCCTTTATCTCTGTCGCCTCTTCCCGTCTCTCCTCTCGACCCTGTTCTACTCGCTTCCTCATCATTTAAGTCTCTCGAACCCCTTCTCACCGATTCAGCTTCACGTCTCTTTACAGTTTCTGCCCGTTTCCTGAATTTATGTAAGAGCATGTGCTTTAGGAACTTTGCATGAAATATAGGGGTAAACGAACTATTTCCACACTGTATAGTAATAGATCTACACGAACTTTGGACCTTGTCCCAATTGCACACAATTAAACTGTAGCAACCTATTTCTCCTCAGAATGAAAGATCAAAACTGTTTCCACACATACGCAAAAATTGAGCTTGGTTTAAATAGTTTATAACATTAACCGATATTAAATCCAATGATTTTGATTAGCATTGGTACAACATGACCCAAACAAATCGATTATAATCCCACCCGAACCTCTATTAATTTTCCCTTATTCGATTTACCTCTTTTGGAACCCTAAAAACTAAAGAAAAATAGAAAACAAAGAATATTAAACCTACTTTAAACCGCCATTTGTTGGTATTAGTTCATCCTTCAAACTTTAGGGGAAATCGGATTTTAATCTTTCTTTTCTGGGAAAAATATGTTGATATAATTTAATTGTGTGCAATTAGGATGAGGTCCAAAGTTTGTGTGGATTTATTACTATATGATAGTAAATGATGGAGAAATATGTTGTTTACCCGAAATATGGATATTTGAAACATTGTTTCACATACCTTCTTGCTTCTTCGTCGCGGACCTTTGCATCTAGTTCCTTGCTTGGAGGATACTTGGGCAAACTTGATACATCGTAAGGGAGTGGTTCCGTTGTGAAGAACTAGAGAAATGAGAAGATTGAGCTTTAGTTCAGTACGAAAATCAATAACTGCTACATAATGAAACACAAGGCTATTTAGTATTCACCTTGCTGTTTAGTGTTGATGACGTTGAGCCTCGCTTCTCTGGTTCTAAGGATAGAAGCTTGTCAACAAGTTCTAGAGCAGAAGATGGCAAACTCTTGAACGTCTCTAAAAGGACACGTTTGTAAGGTTGTTGAGGTTTGAAACTTGTCGCAAGTGGTAGTTTTGTCTTTCGCCAGTAATCATCGGATGGCGAACCACACAACTTGAAGATCTTATGCATTTGCTCCACCTAAGAGACATTCCTTAAATCAATAAATTAAAGCTGAATTCTTATGGGATTCAAAAGATCAGATGATAAGTTTACAGAAAACACACCTCTGTTCTTCCCGGCATGATTGGTTTCCCTAAGAAAAGTTCTGTTAGAATGCAACCAACACTCCACAGATCTATGCCGGCTCCATACTCTGTAGCTCCTAGTAGAAGCTCAGGGGCCCTGTACCACAAGGTTACTACACGGCTCGTCAAGGGTTCATCTTGATCTGGATGATAGAAACTCGCTAGACCAAAATCTCCAATCTTGAGGACTCCATCATTGTTCACCAAGAGATTTGAACCCTTAATGTCTCGGTGGAGGATTCCACGGCTGTGGCAGTGTTCAAGACCGCTAAGCAGCTGTTTCATGTAACATTTGATCTGCAAAAAGCAACAAGAAAACAAGATTTGTCACTCTGGTTAGTCCATGATTCCTTGTTAACTTAAATGTTACCTGAGGTTCTGTGAATTTGACACCGGGTCTAAGAGCGAGGCCCGAAAGATCATGCTCCATGTACTCAAACACAAGGTACAAGCTACCAGAGAGTTTTGAGGTGACAAGACACTCGAGCTTCATAACATTTGGATGGTCAAGTTTCCTCAAGATGTTGATTTCCCTGGCCATGAATCTCACGCTCTCGGGATCCATATTGACGAATCTAACCTTCTTCATGGCTACCATTTTACCAGTCTCGAGATCACGAGCTCTGTACACACTACTGTAAGTCCCTTGCCCAATCTGCAAAAAGACAGTTTAAATATTAACCCAACCGAGCACACGAGAGAAACTGCAGACATGGAAAAAGGGAAACTAATTAAACCTTGTCCAACTTCTCAAAGGACTCCGCAGGTCGAGGAACCCAACCCTTGATGGCTTCACCTGCAACAGAGGTTAACCAAGAAGGCCATCCAGCGGCAATGAGCTCAGACTCGGGGCTATGTGGAACACTAATTGAGATAACATTACTCGACTGAAACAACTGAAATCCTCCTCCTGTTCCAACATCTGCTGTTGAACATCTCCGGTGAGACTTTGTGGGTCTCTCCACAATTACCGTTTTACCATCACTATCATCTATAGGAACAATCAATCCACTGGATGGTTTATGCGCCAATCCACCAGAGCTTCCGTCCACTGATTTATGTGAGAAGTCATCTTTCTTGGAGGTTGTAGGTGCAATCAATTGAACTGAGGACGTTGCAGTTTCTTGAGTCTTCTCGTGTTGAACATTAATTTCGTCTTCTGTATTTCTTTTTGAGAATATGCAGCCCATAATACTACGGCCAATTCAAAATCTTCGTTTGCGCCACCTATCCGCATCAAGAACAAATCAAATATCCTGATTGATCTCCAAGTATCAAACCCAAGAACCTCAGGTTCATCAGATAGAAGACAGAATGTAATCGTTGTTCTTCTCCTTATGACAAATATGCAATTGGGTCTATTATGTACCCAAGTCAATGAGAAGATCTTTTTAAAACCTAAAGTTATATAAATAGCAGGGAAAATATGCAAGAGGAAGGAGAGAGACCATGTGGAATCAATGACTTTTCAGAATTGGAAACGCCTCGTACAATGAGAAATTTTAAAACCAAAGAGGAGAAAACGTGTGCTTCAAGAAACAAGAGATGAGGATGAGAAGAACGTTGCAAAAAAAAAAAAAAAGGAGACTCAGTTTTTGTTTTTTTCCGTTAAGTGACTGCAAGGTGGACAAGACGTTGCAGCAAACTGTTCGTCGATGACGGAAACTCCGGAGAGAGAGAAAAGACTAACAGAATGTCATTAATCTTTAGGATCATGAGAGATGGATTCGTTTTTGTTTCACTAGAAACTAGGAGGAGCCCTATATTCTGTGGTGTAGACAACCCAAAAAATCTAGATGCTTCTTTTTTTACTATTTTGGGGTCTTTAAGAAACAGATTATAACGAGTTTGCATGAGGTAGAGATTTGTTCCAACAGTCAAAAAACGGAAAGATATTTGTTGTCGCTGTTGTTGTTGTGATAATGACCCACGTAGGATCTAGTTTGTCCGAAATCGTGAGACTCACTTTCTTTTTGTTGATATATCAACATGATCCCAAGACTTTTTAAGTTCAAGTCTGACATAACATATCTAGCTGATAACAATAACAATCTCTGTATAGACCCGGACATCAACAAGTTATTAGAAATAAAATCCATGTTTTTAATAATAAAACCCTTCAAGTATCAGCTGCCCCTCGTTTGAGTATTCAGAAGGACAAAACTTGGGTTCACCCCTGAGGTGAATTATACACCTGACTCCTTTACACCAATTAAACTACCACATAAGATTAATTAAAAGAATAATAGAAGGACAAAACTTGAATTCACCCCCTAAGGTAAATTATACAATTCACCCCACTCCTCTACACCAATTAAACTGTCACATAGGATTAATTAAAAGAGTATTATAATTAAAGAAGAAAAAAAGAATATAGCTTGAAAAAAAAAGGAATCTAACGTTTTGGTCCATCGGCTTCTTCTTGTTAATAGCTAACACAGAAAATAAAACAAGGATTTATCAAGTTCGAGTCTCCAATATGTGCTTTCAAATCGTATTTCAATTTCATCTTCTCTAAGCCAAATCAAACCATGTTCATCTTCCTACTATATGAACATCATGGGGGGCTTGAACCAAAACTGATTTTCTTCTTGAAAATATCAAACAAGAGGAAGAAGAAGATGAAGAAAAAGAGCATCGAGTTGAAATACATTTTTTTTTTTGTTGGAACTGAACCTTTTAATTAAATCTACAAACACATTGGATCTAAGAATAACTTCCCAAGAAGACAACAAAAAAGTAGCAGAGAACAAGCTACAAAGGAGAGTAGCAGAGAATAAATTACAAAGAAGAAAGAAGAAGAAGAAGAAAAGTCTTGAGCCGCAAGAAACAGAGGAGTGAAGAAAAAGAAGAGAGTGAAAACAAAAACAGAGTGAGTGAACAAGAGAAACATATATGATGGAAGCCGAGAGTAGTTGAGTTGAGTGGAGAAGTCATTGTTGTCTCTCCAAACAAATGGTAATGATGAGGCAATGAACTAGCCAAGACCTGCAAAGATAAAAGAGACTGTTATGTATTTAGGTTATTTTTATTTGTTAGAGTTGTTGAGGATGTTTATGATGATTTCGTAATTATAAGGCAATGAAAAAAAGTTCATAACAGAGAGCTAGCTATGTTGCAGAGTCAACGTCAGCGTTCATGGTGCGCTAATCCTCCATGGATCATGGAATAACCTAAGAGATGGTCACGTATAAATAGTTAAAGTTTTGGCCAGAAGATATACATATACAAAATAGAAATGGTCGATCCACATACAGTTATGACATCTGTTCACAACAGAAATTCTGTTACAGAATCATAGATTGTTAATGAACAATGCATTATTTTTCGTTTATCTTGTGTTTATATCTTTGATAAGCTAGGAAGAAGTCAAAGAATGACTTGAGCTACATGGAAAACATGAACTTGTCACAAAATGATTACAGAAACTACCCGAGTTCTTCCACAAGTCTTAAGAGTTCATGTATTTTTTTGTTGTGGATTAGTTGAACTTCATCATGCTCTTTAGTATATAAATGATCACAGAAACTACGTGAGTTCTTCTCATTTTTCTAACTCTTCGATCTATCAATGATTATGTCTTGTAAAACTGTCTCACATGTCATTTTCTTGAACCTCTTTTCTAGATTACTTTGAAAGTCGAATAGTAATGTGGCTGATCCATGCATAATCAGCTTGCCATGGGTGATTGCACTCAAAAGCATACATAACCTATTTGCTCAAGATATATATATATATATATAACAAATAATAAATAAACTTGACGTTAATTATGTTAATTGAGTTATGCCGTATCTCGAAGAGTATTTGCATCCCATATACAAACTAAACCCATAAATTAACTATCTACCATTTTTCTCTCTTATCTCTCCTCCCTCCCCTCTCACTATTTTTCCCCCAAAACCATGACATATTCCTAATATCCAAGTTCTTTATGGATTTTAGGCCAATTCACCTTATCTCGAACCTATAAGTTCAGAGATGAAGAAGAAAAAGACGATGGATGAAGAAAAAGAAATCAAATCAAACAGTTAACGACGGGATGAGGTAGCCCTCCTGGCAAAGGATCTTGGGGCCAATTGTCATGCTCACGGGTTCGACACCAGGCGGTGGCGAAATGCCTCTTCCATGTCACTAAAGTGGTATTGGGCCTAGGCACAACCCTCCCGGGTGAAGTGGACCGCTGTCTGACCGGGCCCAGGGAATGATCCGCGAAGCGGGGAACCCTGGATTATCAAAAAAAAAAAAAATCAAACAGTTAACGGCGGCGTAACAAAACGTTAGGTTCCTTTTTTTCAAGTTATATTCCTTTTTTTCTTTGATTCTATTATGAGTTAGTTATTCTTAGGTTCACCCTCTAAGAGTGAATCTCTAGGTTCACTATACAATAGAATTGCATTATTTCATATTTGATATCTTTTAAAAAAGGAAATAAAATCTTGTTAAATTATATTATGTTTTTAAGAATAAAAATACAAAAAAAAAATACAAAAAACAAAAAATAATAATAATTAATAAAAACGAAAATATTTTAACACTAAACCCTAAACTCTAATCCTAAACCCTAAACCCCTAGGTAAATCATAAACCTTTGAATAATTTGTATACAAAAATTCTTTAAAAATATATTTTAACACTAAACCTTAAACTCTTATCCTAAACCCTAAACCCTTAGGTAAATTATAAACACTAAACCCTAAACTCTAATCCTAAACCTTAAACCCTTGGGTAAATCATAAACATTAAACCCTAAACTCTAATACTAAACCCTAAACATTTGGGTAAATCATAAACAAATTTTTTTTAGGGTTTAGTGTTAAAATATTTTCTTTAAAAAGAATTATTTTCGTTTTTATTAATAATTATTATTTTATTTATTTTTGTATTTTTATTTTGAAAAAATTAATATAACTTAATAAGATTTTGTTTCTTTTATAAAAAGATATCAAATATGAAATAACACAATCTTATTAGATGGTGAACCCCTAAGGGATGAACCCAAGAATTAGTCTTTAAATACACCCAACTGGAGTCATAATTGGCAATATTCCCATGTTCACCCGAAACTATAGTATTTTGTGTTGATGTTGACCACAAAAACACTTGATTTCCATATGCAGTGCAAAAGTGAATTTCAAGTAAAGATATGGTCATAGATAAAGTCCAGTCTGTATAGTATGGAGCTCTATGGTAACACGATTCTTCTTCAATTACGTTACTCGATGAACAAAATATAATAGATTATTCTGATATTCGTAAACATAAGAAATTTTTGGATATATACTCTACCTTTTGATGTATTAATGTATACGTTAATATATAAGGATAACAGATGCATATTTCAATATCGGCCATATCTGCGCATTCATATATTGTTTGGGTTATGAGCTAACAACAAATTTATTATCTGATGAACTTAGCAATAGTTGCTAGCATTTAACAAGAGGACTTTGAGTTTCTTGTCTCTTTGGTACATAAAAAAAACACAATTGTTAGTGGTTAACCTAGGATTTAGCAGGTTAATGAGACAACTTTTGGAAAAATACACTACATTATAATATATTAATGTATAAGTTAACATAGAATATTAATAGATACATATGTCAATAACGGCTATATATATCAACTACTATACTAAAAGCCGCATATAAGAAGCAGTTAGTCTGTTCACTTAAACAAAAAAATTCATCTTGCCACCTTGGACTGTATGAGAGTGTTTTCGATTGAATCTCCCATGAACTCAATTATTTTATATTTGGGCCTCTTCTGTTTTTATTTTGCCACCAGATTTTTTTAAGTCCAAAAATCATTCAAATCACCCTTTCTTCTTCTCTCCTTCTCCGATTCCTCTTCTCACCCGATCCTTCCTGTTTTGTTATCGAGTTCTAATCCACGATTTCATACAATCAAAGCTCTTTTTCTTCATTCAATGGCCATCTTTAAGCTTCATCCTCAAAAATCTGTGTATAAAACCCATTATGTTCCTTCTCTAACCATTTCAATCTTCAAATTACTCTCACAAATACAAATAGATGGAATCCAAAGGCCACTTCGCATGCTCCAGCGACTGCTCATCCGTGATTGATCGAAAGTCAAAATCGATGATCGATGGCTCCTCCACACCGATGCAAACCACAGAGCAATCTCCGCTCTCCAAAGACCGCACACTACAAGAAAACTCATCTTTTAC